CATAATTAGAGGACTTATACTACCTGATTTCAAGACTTAGTATAAAGCTACAGTAAAGAAGACAGTGCTGTATCAGCATATAGGTCATGGAACAGAATGGAATTCAGAAATAGACCTACACATAGGTGGTCAATTGATTTTAAACCAATGTGCCAAGGTAATTCAATGGTACTGAAACACTGATATACATACGGATAAAAACAAATCCCAAACTTTACTTCACCATGCACACAAACCTAAGTCAAAATAGATCAGAGGCCTAATCATGAAAGATAAAACTACAAAACTTTTAGAAGAAAATATAGGAGAACATCTATATGACTTTGTGGTAGGTACGATTTTTTAGGATTTACAAATCACATAAACATAAAAGAAAGAACTATTTGAGATGATGGCTTTGATCAAAATTAGAAATTTTTTGTTATTAGCACTTCTAAAAAATGAAAATATAAATGACACAATGAAACAAAAAATTTTGGAATGCATGTTTCTCACAAAGAACATATATGCAAAATATATAAAGAACTCTTAAATCTCAGTAACGACTTAATTTTAAAAAAAGAGCAAAAAAGATTTCAATGGCCCATACAAATATGCAAAAAACAATATGCATCATCATTAATCATTAGGAAAGGGAAAATAAAACCAAATGAGATATGATTACTCAGCCATTATAAAGCCTGAAATTAAAAAGACTGACAATATAAAGCCTCAACAAGAATGTGGAACAAAGAACTTTTATATATTGCTGACAGAAATATAAAATGATACGACTACTTTGCCAAATAGCTCAGCAGTTTCTTATGAAGTTAATCATGTACTTACTACTCAACCAGCAATTTTACTCTTTGTTGATTACCCAAGTGAAATGAAAATATATGTCCACGCCAAGACTTTCACTCAAATGTCCATAAGAATCATTATTTATAACTGAACCAAACTGGACAAACCCAGATGCCTATCAACAGGTGAATAGATAAATAAATAGTACAATAATACCTATCAAGAAAAGGGGCTGGGCGCGGTGGCTAACGCCTGTAATCCTAGCACTCTGGGAGGCCGAGGCGGGAGGAT